GTCTTACAAAATAGAATCTCCTTGAAGTTGAATCTCCTCAAAGTTGAATTTGCACAAAAAAGGTATCATTTCAAATTCTAGCCTTGCTACATGTAGTTTTTGCAATGAGGGCATTGAAGATATAAATCATTTGTTTCTGCATTGTAAAACTGCATACTTAGTGTGGTCCAAATGTTTTCAATGGTGGAGGATTACCTGGGTAGAAGCTAATAATTGTTTGGCATATCATTTGAGCAACACTTGTCTTCTTTTAATGATGTAAAAAACAAGGTAGGATGGGATGCAGTATGGTTTGCAATTATTTGGTCCTTATGGATTGCTAGGAATGAAAAGTCCTTCAAAAATCATGACCAGGATGTAAGTAGAATTTTTGAACTTGTGCAACTGAGGACATTCCAATGGATTGAAAACAGATCATTTGGGTACTCTTTTAATATTTGCAATTGGATCCTGGACCCTATGGAATGCTTGAAGGACAAATGAAGTAAATAATTGACATTGTGCTAGAATGGGTGCTAGCTTGACGTGTGCGACCTCATAGAATATAATTACTGCTTTTATCTTGTCCCACTGTTGAGGGAATAGACAATGTTTTGTAATGAGTTGGAGTATCCTTTGTACTCCCTTATATATATATATATATTTCCTTTGCTGTGCCAAAAAAAGAGAAGCACTCTAAAAGTGACATTAAAAAAATGTAAAGATTCCAAACTGTGCTTCATTGTTCCAAAGCTGATTTTCTATGAATTCAGGCAAAATGTAGACAGTATGTCTTAGACTAGGAAGAACATTTATTTGCAATAGCAATAAGAGGAAATTTTCTATGTGTGGTAATGCCAATGGATTCGCTTAGGTCTATATCCTTTTCTTTTGCTCCACCAGGCAAAGTCCAATCAAACTTGTGCACAAGATTTGCTAAGAAAAGCTCATTGATTGTTGTTGCAAAGAGAATACCAGGACAGCCCCGCCTTCCAGACCCAAAAGGAATTAACTGGAAATCATGCCCTTTGAAATCTATGCTGCTATTCAAAAACCTCTCTGGAATGAATTCTTCTGGTTGTTCCCATGACATGGGGTCTCTTCCAATTGCCCAAGTATTCACAATAACCCGAGTTCCTGCTGCAATGTTGTAGCCCATTACTTCAATGTCTTGAGCAGATTCTCTGGGTACTAACAATGGAATTGGAGGGTGTAGACGGAGAGTCTCTTTGATCACAGCCTTCAAGTAATCCATCTTCTCCAAATCCTTCTCTTTTATGTCTGATTTTTCACCTGCAATCTCTCTCACCTCCTTTTGCAGTTGTTTCATAACATTTGGGTGCCTCAA